TAATTTGAACAATGCCCCTAGATTCAGAATTAGCTCACTTTGATGCGAGCTAATGCCATTTGGCCCGCATAAGTATCGCGTCTTTTTTACACAATTATGAGTGGTATTGAGTTGTTTTAAAGACATCAGCAATGGATTAAAATTACACAAATTATCTTTAGCAATAAATTTGTCGACCTCATGCACTTGATGAATGCAAACGCACAATTCACATTTTCATGCTTTGAAACTTACCACAATTTCTCTATTCCAAACCAGTGAAAGGGTTCAGGAACACAGTCTGGTTTTTGCCCTCATCAATTCCCACTTTCCTAATTGAACATTAGGTTGGGGCCAAGCGAATTTGAAGGAAGCCATGTGCTGACCTGAAATATGGAATTAGAATTTTTCAACCGGTAGCTAACCATAGGAATGAAGTGTGTCTCTCCCACGTCCAGCTATACTAGCCGTAAGATCATCCATAGTTGGTTGTTTGCACAAGTGATTTTTGGTATTTATAGGATTACTGTAGCTTTGAGCCTCACAGTTTTTGGTAGGGTATTTAGACAAAATCTCGAGGATTTGTTTGATTTCGCATCAGATCATTACATTTTAAGCGGATTCACCCGTCAAAGGGGCTAACCTGTTCTAAGCTCCGAAGATCTTTCAAAAATCACCCGAATCAATGTCGTCTGCGGTGAACTGCGTCCTCGGAACCAGTTTTGTGGGGCCGCATTCCATTGACAGTCCGACATTTCAAAGATCACCTCGGTAGCGCGTTGCGTGCCGCTTCGGTTGCGAGCGCGTGCGAGCCGCTTGTTCGAAGGACTTCGGGAGGGTTGGATTCGCTTAACGATAGTCGTATAGTGATTAGGAAGCCCATATAAGTCTGTTTGTGCTGCTGTCCCATTTCAGTAACATTCTCGGCGGTAGATGGTCGGTAAGCAAGAGGATGGCGGAACGGTAACGACTGGCACCAGCGCATCAGCCTGCACCACCGCCATCTCATCCGGCACGACGAACGACCTCCTCGACTCGAGACGATGCAGCGCTGCTCTGCCGCCACCGGACGAACAACAACCCGGACCATCCGCACCTGTCATTTCCACTAAAGATGAAGTTATCGTTGAAACTAGTGATGGAGGTTTGGTTAGTTTTCTTTGAGTTACCAGCCGTCGAGTTGAGTTGCTCGGCGAGCCCCAGTGATAACCGTTGTTTACCCAATTTTTCAGTTTCTACTTAGTCGCTGCCGACTTGCGGCTGAGTCGCACTTCTTCCGTGCTTTGTTTCACGGCACATATTTAGAATCAAAATCAAGCCGAGTAAGGTAAATTTAGTCGTATATAAATCATATCCACTACCTCGGTCACGCAAGAATTCGCTTACTCAAACATAGCGTTCGCTCACGAGTATAAGAAAG